CCGCGGCGCATCTCTTCTTACCACCCCCTGCGTCAGGGACACGTCTGGGCCTGACGGTGGGACCTGGTAATCTCCATGCTGCCACTCATGGCAGATTCCACCAGGACAAGCCCCTCAGAACACTCTCCTAAATCCTAGTGGAGAGGTTGGCGTGCTAACCCGTGCTTGGACTGAGCTGCAGTGCTATCCTATGCACTGCAATTGGCATAAGCATCCCAACTCACAGGTGTGCACCTGGGAAGGGGGCATGGAGAGAGGGAAGGGCTCAACACACTATGGTCTGGAGGGGGCTCTGGCCTCCATGTCCCGAGTTGCCACATGATTGTCTGGATCCCAGGTTTCCATGCCAGCTCTGTTCTGACCAGGAGTTGGCATGGTGATAAAGATGCTTCTGCAAGTTCAAATCCAATATGGCTCCACCCTAGGCTCACCTGTGGAGCTGGCTTTTAATGCTGTTTTGAGAACCTATACATTTCAAATCCCCCATAGCATTTCACTTGATGGGCCCACTATTTAGGTCCCAGATACAAACACTGCAAAGCAAACTGTTGGGGCTAGACTTGCACCAAGAAGCAGCTGTCCACCCTTGCAGGGTCCCCATGGATTTGAGAACCTCCAGGACTGGCATGATAGAGCGTGGGGAGCCAGTCTGAAGGAGAGGCTTTGACCATCACTACATTTCGTAGTGATCTGGGTGTTGTCCTGGTTCAGGAAGTTGAGGGCGTCTTCAGATGTAGGTGATGCCCCTTAGGTTGAATTACACTCACCTGTCCCTTGTAACTTTGCCCCTCTGGTCTTTTTCGGATGAAACTTTCTAAGAATGAGGGTCCCCCCCACTAAAAGCCCACTTCTGAATGTGCTCGCTCTCTCTTGCCAGTGACTTTCTCTTGCTCTCCCATTTGGGGAGCTTGAGGCCGAGAACAAAGAAGCCGTCCTGAGCTTGTTTAAAGGTCAAGTGTGTTTTATTTGGTGTCCCTGAAAATTCACATAAGCGTGTGGGTCAGGGGCAGCAATAGAGGGCTCCATGGCCCCTAGAACCGCAGAGTTGATGATTCACTGCAAAAGCAGTGGGCCCAGACATCAACCTACCTGCACCTAGTCCAGGGAATACTGGAAGCCACAGCGAGAGCCAGCCCACCTGAGTCAAGGCCACCAGGGAATGCCACATGGCCCTGGTGACCCCGGAGCTCTGGGTGCACCTCAGGTGGGCACATGTGTAGAACATGGCAGGCAGATCGGTGAGCCAGTACAGACCAGGGATGGGTGGATGCCTGGCATGGTGATCACAGGCATGGCTCTTCCACCTGTTGGCCCTTCTGGGACGTGACTCCAGGCCACAAAGTGGCCTCACACATTCCCCATTTCCATTAAGCAAAGAGAAAAGGCATGTGGGGCTGGAGGACGTGGGCTGCTGGCCAGTGACACCTGCCTGGAGACATGCCCACCCAGGAAGGCTCAGCCTATGGGAAGTGGGCTAAGATGGAGACACAGGCCACCCTACCTGTTCACCACTTCCTGGCCACCAGTCTCCACCCAAGGCTGTCTGCTCAAGCAACTGGAAACTCCAGGAACATCGCAGGGCAGCAACCTTAAGTCAGTGGGGAATACAGTGTCCTGTTCAGAAGAAATGCCAGGAGCGCACAGCTCCAGAGCCTGCCAGGTAGGGCAAGGCAGCAGACTGGTCATGCCACAGCTGTCCACAAGTGCTAGTGGCCTCAGGAAGCACAGCTCTCTGCTGACCCTGAACGCTCAAGCTTAACCCCTCACAGCTGCACCACACAGGCTTCAGCATGTGGCAGTGACCTGGACACGGCCAGCTGGCTCCCCAGGACATTGAGACTCAAGGACTGGGTCAGTCTCAGCATCCACTGCCTGCCCGCTGACATCTCTCCCACTCTTGAACAGCCTTCACTTCACTCACCATCCCAAGGCCTTCCGGACTCAGGAGCGTGGACCCAGGGCCCCGCCCAGCAGCCCTCGAGGAGGAAAAGCCATATTTACCGTGTCCCCACATCCCAAGGGGTGGGCTCTGACCCCTGCTGCAGGATGACCTGTGCCTCCCACCAGGTTTGCATGTTGGGGGTCTAAGCCACAGCTTGGTGTTAGGAGGTGGGTGTCTGGGGGGGGAGGCCCCTCAGTGGGGTCAGTGCCTACTGAGAGGAGACAGCTGGACCTCTGGCTCCTTCTCCACACATGCACGCCCTCTGCACAGAGGGGCCCGCCAGGCAGGGCTGTCTGGCCCCAAGTTCTGTGGTCTGCAGTGTTTCCTCCTGGCCCGCAGCAGAGACGGGAGCCACAGTTCATGGCTGTTCAGAGCAAGCTTCAGTTTGCATTGACGACCTCAGAGTTTTCAAACACCTCCTAGCTTCAACTCACTCACCAATGTTTGCCAGGCTTTTCTCCCTTTTTATTAGAACTTAAAGGCAAATCCTTAACACCATGTCATTTCTCCCACAAATGTCAGAATTCACCTCAAAACCAGCAAATTCCTTAATGCTACCAATGCCCAGCCTGTTCACATGATTGTCTCAAAAATGGCTTCTTACAGTTGATTTGCTCCCAGCACCACAGCCCCACGTCTCTGGGCCTCTGGCTGCTTGGAGAAGGTGCTGTCTAACAGCGTCCCTCAGGGCTCTGGAGCCATGCTTCTTCTTGGTGGCTGAGCTGGTCCTCTTCACCCTGCTTCCTGTGACATTGCCAAGTCTAGGTGCATGTTATCTGGGAATTACTTTTTGGTTCCAGGGATTAGGCACAAGAACTCCACCATTAAGGTGCACCCAAACCTTTTTATTTTTTCAGACAAGGTCTCACTAAGTTGCTGAGACTGGCCCTGAACTTGTGATCCTCCTGCCTCAGCCTCCTGAGTTGCTGGGGTTATAGGTGTGCACCACTGTGCCTGTTATTAATTGCAAAACTCTCATCAGATATCAGGATAACCTGATACAGCAGTGACAAATGCGGGTCCCTGCTCAGCTCTCACAGTATGGAGTTGCCCTGCAAGCTCTGCCTGGCAGGCTGTTTCTGCCTGGGCAAAGCAGAGGTACCCCAAGCTGAAAACCGAGAAGACAACCTGCAGCAAGCCTGGCCACCACATTCTGCTCTCAGACCCAGCCACTCACCAGCTCCAGGGGCGTGACCAGCTCTGAGCACCAACCAACAGGGAGGGCATGGGCAGAGGGAGCTCCTATTGCCCAGTAGGCAGGCAGGCGGGCAGCCGCTATACAGCCAGCTTCTGGGCACCACCCAGCACCAGGCATGAGCACAGAGCTGCCCAGCAGCCAAGGCCCATGACACAGGGCAGTGCAGTGGAGTCATTAAGCAGCCTGAAAGCCAAGGGCCAGAGCTGAGCAGCCCAGGCCCCGGTTGGCAGCATCTCTGTAACTCATGGTCCCACATGTGGATGCAGAGCTGGGCAGACACGTCCAGTTCTCATCCATACACCATGGCCTTCCTGGGCACGTTCTATGAACTCAATGAACAGAAATGAGACACGATGCCATTGTGCCAAAGAGCCGACGCCCAGGTCAGTCTCAGTACAAGAAGCTGCAAGGACAAGAACTGAGGGTGCAGCTTTGACCCCCAGGGACAGCCCACCCGTCCTGTGCTGCCACGGAGCAGAAGCAGCCCCACATGTGCCATGCCAACCAGACCCTGGCTTTGAATTCAGATCTGGCCTTTTAACTGGCTCCCGATGACACAAAGGTGCTCGTTTGTAAGTTCCCACATAGTGAGGTCGCAAAAGAGGCTTTGCTTCTCTGAAAAATGTAACACTACCTTGCAGAGATGGAAGAAAGATGGATGAGCAAAGAGGGAGAGAAAGAGCCAGGACAAAAGGTTAAAGTGCACACGAGTGACAGCGGGGACAGGGGTCAAGTTCATGGGGTGAGACAGTCACGGACACATCTCCAGGGCGGGTAAACGGGGTGTGTGTGTGTTTATGCTTACGCGGACGCACTGCTCAGTCTCCATGGCATACTCTGGATCCCCTTCTTCTGATGGCATTTTCCTGTTGGTACTTCTCAGGAGCTCTACGGAGCTCCAAGCTTTACCTAGTTATTCTGAAAGCCCATAAGGTTTCCTTCTAGGCTCAAGAGTGACAGAGGGCACAGCTCGTCCCCAGCAAAGGTGGAGCCCCGGGGCCAGGGCCTCTATACCTGGCCTCCCCGGTGAGTCCTCTGATGCCGAGTGAAGAAGCCCAGGTGGCGGAAGCCCTTCCCACAGCGCTCACACTCATAGGACCTCTTGGCCAGGTGCAGCTTCTGGTGGATGCTGAAGCCCTTGGGCCACCGGAAGGCCTTCCCACACTCGGCACAGGTGTAGGGCTTCTCCCCGCTGTGAATGCGCTGGTGGTGACTAAGGTTCTCCTTGGTCCGGAAAGCCTTGCCGCAGTTGGTGCAGAAGAAAGGCCTCTCCCCAGTGTGCACAAGCTGGTGCCGGAGGAGGTTGGACTTCTGCTTGAAGGCCTTCCCGCAGTCACCACACACGTAGGGCCGGTGCTCTGTGTGGACTTTGCGATGCTGCACCAGACGGTCCTTCAAGCTAAAGGCCTGTCCACACAGCTCGCAGCTGAAGGGCTTCTCACTCGTGTGGTTCCTCTGGTGGCGCAGGAGGTTGGAACACCAGCGGAAGGTCTGGCCGCACTGGAAGCACTCAAAGGACCTGGCTCCTGTGTGCACCATCTGGTGAGCAGCCAGCCGGCTGTGGCAGCTCAGCGCCTTCCCGCACGTGCCACAGATGAATGCAGGTTCCTCCGTGCGGCTCTTGTGCTGCTCCCCAAGACCTGGCCACTGCCTGCAGGACTTTCCACACGCCTGGCCGTGGAGAGTCGTGGGCTTACCTGCCTTCCTCCCTGGAGCAGTCCTGGGAAGCTGCACCTCACCCACAGCTGGGAGGAAGCTCTTCCCCCAGCTAGCCCCTCTCTGGACTCTTCTCCGCAGGTGGGTCTTCGCGTGAACCCAGGCCAGCTGATCACAGAGTCTTTTGTGGTCAACAGGCTTCCTTGACCCTACAGAGGAACACCAACAAATTTACAGGATTGGTGGCTCCAGGGGCAGGCAAGGCGCACAGTGGCCACCCTGAAAGTGTGAAGAAAAGCTACCAAAAGTCATCTCTACTCATCTCAAGCGAAACAAGGAGGCACTCCTAAAAAGTCACTCCCTATAGCATAAGCTATAAAGAAACATGCTAAAAACACATAGGTGAGCCGAGCTTGGTGGCACATGCAGGGACAGGAGTCATCCCAGCAGCTCGAGAGGCTGAGACAGGAGGATGGCAAGTTCAAAGCCAGCCTCAGCAACGGCGAGGTGCTAAGCAATTCAGTAAGACCCTGTCTCTAAATATACATTAGGGGGCTGGGGATGTGGCTTAGTGCTTAAATGCCTCTGAGTCAAATCCCTGGTACCCCCCTACAAAAAAAAAAAAAACACAGAGGAGGCTGTGGCTGGGGCTCAGTGGGTGGTAGAGCGCTTGCCTGGCATGTGTGAGGCAGTGGGTTTGATTCCCAGCACCACATACAAATAAATATATAAAGATCCACTGACAACAAAAGAGAAAAAGAAAACAAAAAACAAAACCCACATAGGTCAGCTAGAACTACTAGCACTGGACTATACAGAGTGAACTCAGGGCTCGCTCTGGCTCCGTGGTAGTCATCCAGGACCACTGAGGAGAGGGGGACCTGCGAGAAGGTTTGACCAGCTCAGTAATGCACACTGGCTGGTGTCCCCACGTGAGGGGGGACTCAGGACAGTGTCACCCCGCTGAGGTACAGGTAGGGCCTAGGCAGGGGCCGGGGAACTCCATATATTCAGGACCCCACATCCTCCCCAGCCAGGGGCTCCAACAGGTCTAGGCGCCTTCCAGCCTGTCTCAGGCGCACACAGGCCTGGATCTGAGCTAAGGCACCGACTCTGGGGCTGGGTAGGGCTCAGTGGCACAGGGCTTACCCAGCACATGGGAGAGACCCTGGTCCATCCCCAGCACCACAAAAGGGAGAAACAAAATACCCTGGTGACCACTGCCAAGGCCACCACCTCCATTAAGGGAGGGAGGCAGCACCGTTGACCAGCGTCACAAATGAGCCAGAACAAAGAGCCCACCTAAGGCCACTCAGGAGACTCTGACCTGCATCAGGCACACAGGCCTCAGAACCCCCCTGAGTTGTCACAGAACAGTGCCTGGGACTGGCACAGGCTCTCCACACACCTCCCTCACCAGCTGAGCCCAGGACCCTTGTAAATGCCCATCCCAGTAGGACCAGTGGCAGGAGTGCAGCTGCCACCTGTGTCCCACTCAGAAGCAGCTCTGTGCCCCCTCGCCCCTGGGAGAGGAAGGTGATGGGAGCTCTGAGGACAGAGGAAGAGGCCAGCCAGGCCAGAGTGCTGCGCTCACCTGGGTGGGAATCCCGCTGTGCTTCCCGAAACTCAGCTCTCTCCCAGTCTTCAACCCATGGCTCACCCCACTGCTCCAGGTGAGAGACAAGATCTGGTCTGGGGCCGCAAAGTCCTTCTCAAAAGAGAGAAAAGGTTTTATTTGTGCAGAGGACAAAGTGAGGGTCAGGGCTCAGGCCAGCTTTAGGTCAGTATAAGGTGAACTAAGCAGCCAGGACAGCCCTGAAGGACCCCCTGGAGAATCTTCCCTGAAGCAGAGATGAAAGAAGAGACATTCCCATTCCCACTGTCCCACACAGGGTCCTGGAGACTTGGGCAAAGAAGACAAGTGAGGCTGGGCACGGTGGTGCACACCTGTAATCCCAGCAGCTCAGGAGGCTGAGGCAGGAGGATCACAAGTTCAAAGCCAGCCTCAGCAACTCGAGGCGCTAAGCAACTCAGACCCTGTCTCTAATAAAATACAAAATAGGGCTGGGGATGTGGCTCAGTGGTCAACTGCCCCTGAGTTCAATCCCCGGCACCCCCCCCCAAAAAAAGAGAAGACAAGCTGCCCCCAAAGAAGTCAAAAGAGCCCCCGGACCAGATGGTCAGAGGGTGGGCCGGGCCCTTCTGTCTGCTCAGGCTGAGAACTCCCTACCCCAAGCCCTCAGCTAGAACCTATCAGGCTCTCGAGGCCCACACAGCCTCACCCAAAGCAACCAAGCTCCTGAAGTTGTCCAGCATCACATCCTGGTAGAGGGCCCTCTGGCTGGGGCCAAGACACTCCCACTCTTCCCTTGAGAAGTACACTGCCACATCCTCAAAGGTCACCGGCACCTGACATGTGCACGGCTCCAGGACTAGCTGCTCCTGAAAAAGAGTGAGAGACACAGCACCAAGTCCCATGTCTGCAGGAAGGAGTGAGAGCAGGTGACAGTGTTCAAGAGGGAAAACCCCAAGAGGTCCACAGCCAAACCTGGGAAGGCATCTGCGTGGGCAGGTGTCTGCACCCAACTCTTAGCTAGACCCCTGACTCCCACGTGGCTGCGCTTGGAGATGGGGCCTCTGAAGAAGCAATTAAGGTTAAATGAGGTCAAAGGGTGGGGTCCTAAACAACAGGACTGGGGTCCTTATTAGAAAGTCAGAAAGCCAGGCTGGGGGGGGGGGCGCATGCCTGTAATCTTGGCAATTCGAGAGACTGAGAGGCAGGAGAATCACAAGTTCAAGGCCAGCCTCAGCAACTTATTGAGGCCCTAAGCCTCAATGTGGCTCAGTGCTTAAGCACCCCAGGTCCAATCCCAGGATGAGGGGGAAAAGGGAAGAGCCCCATGGCTCCTTCCTACAGGAGGCCCTTCACAAAGGCAGCCTCTACATCCAGGAAGAAGCCCTGGCCAGGACTGCACATGCCAGCACTGATGCTGGACTCTGCAGGATAGAGAAGCAGATGGCTATAGCGTTAAGCTGCCCGCCTGGTAGTTTGCTTGCAACTGTGATGGACTAAGCACGTAAAAGAACCAAGCCCATTTTCCAAGTTGGCTATGACTTCTACCCGGCTCTTACCTAAGTGAACTGGGCTCTTTCCTTTTCCCAGCCCCAAGAAAGAGAACCAGCAGAAAGGTGAGCCTGGCGGGTACCCTCCCTGCCTTGGCCGCACCTGGGGGCCTGCAGCCAACAACAGCTCACCTGGCGCACATCCACGGGAACTGCAGTGGTCACACTCTGAGGAAACACAGGCATAATGGAGCAGACAGTCTGGGGAGAGAGTGGGGTGAGCAGGAGAGGCTGGCCCAGAGCCCCACCTAACTCCAAGAGCCAACCCCCACTTGCAAGCCCAGGGAGCCCAGGAAAAGCCAGTGGTGCCTATGCCCTGGCATTGAGGTGCCAGGGAGAGCAGGTGCTATGGCCCCTGGCAAGCAGCAGAACTCTGGAACACCAGGAAGCAGGCAGGCCTTCTCCAGACCAGATAGAGACCAGCCGGTATGGCTGAAAGTCACCAGCCTGACTGTGGACGTGGCACTGGAGAGTGACACAGAGCCCCAACCAAGATAGCTAGTTCCTGGACAGCAGGCCAGGCCACTCCACAGGGCAGGCACACAAACTGTCCTCGGGTGCTTTCCCATGAAGGGGCCACATCCCAGCCACCTTCTCCTAACTCAGAATATGGGCTGGCCCGGGGAGTCCACTCGCCCTCACTGAGGTGCCCGTCAGGCCAGGCGTTCCCCACTAGGAGCTGCATTTGCTGCTCTGGCCTCTGGCCTGCCCCACCTTCCCCGGGATCCAGGCGCCTCTGCTGCAGGGGCCTCGCCTCCCCTGTAGAGCCCAGCCTCAGACACCACGGGAGAAGACATCCCCAGTGGTAGGAAGAAAGAGCACACCTTCTTCCCCTGCACGTGAGAAGGGGCCTTGCCACAGACCCTCCGTCAGGAGTGCCCTGAGAGCCATCATGAGCCTGTCACACCAAGTCCAGCAACTTAGATAAAGACTAGAGCTGAGCAAGCCAAGTGGAAGCCCAGCCTGCTGAGCGAGTGCCACCAGACGGACACTCCCCGAGGGAAGAGCAGGCTGCATGCCTGGCATGTTTTTTCTAGCAGGACCAACAAACAACTTCCAGTTTCTCTTAATGAGGCAGCACGACCTCAAACCCAAACTGTCAGAGGAAAACTACAGCCCATCTCTCAACAACAGACATGGACATTCTCCAAATATCAGAAGGCCAAACCCCTGACTGAGGGCATGCACCCCAAAGACACAGTCACTGTGTCTGAGCTGAAGACCTGGGACCAGGCAGGAGCTGTCCTTGCGCTCACCTCTGCACACTCACCTCACAGACTCTCCCCATTTCCCCTCTGGCACTATCAAGTCAGTCACATGGAGCTACTCAACGCTTTAGTGTTTTCCAACTTGAGATTTGTAAGGACCCAGCTTGTTATGACCACAGCCCATCTTGGCTGTAAGAGCCTGTGTGCCCACCAGGTGACCAGGGCACTATAGAGCAGAGTTATTAAGATAGGCTGTGTGTGTTGTGGTGGTCATCGATGTCCAGACTGCTTTTCTTTTTAATAGATTCTTTTTGGTCATTGATGAACTTTATTATCTTTGCTTATTTATATGCGGAGCTGAGAATTCCACCCAATGCCTCACACACCAGCAAGCTCTGCCACTGAGCCACAACCTGGCCCACAGATGGCTGCTGCTTTGTTGTTGTTGTTGTTATGCTGGGAACTGAACCCAGGGCCTTGTACATGCCAGGCGAGCACTCTACCAACTGAGCTGTGTCCCCAGCCTCCCAGACTGCTTCTTAACTGACCTTTGACATGTTAACGGTTCCTGAGAAAGGCCAGGTCTGCTCTGGTTGGCCAGGGCCCACCTGTGTCCAGCTGAGCACATGAACCTTCTGCCCTGCAGCTGCTTTGCCTGGTAAGGGACTGGCTTGCTACCTTCTGCGGCCTGGATCTGCCGGCCTTCTCTGGTCTCAGCCACTCCCACCTTCTGCAGACACTCTCACACATGGGGTGCCAGGTTTTCCCCTGATGAGATCACCTCTTCCTTTTAAATGCTGGTGGCAGCTTTAGTTACAATGACTTTCCTAGCTTTTCCTTTGTCATTTGGAAATGAACCAATATCATTAACCATGTTAGAAACACAAAGGAGATGGGCTGGGGTTGTGGCTCAGTAGTAGAGCACTCGCCTAGCATGTGTGAGAACTGGGTTTGATTGTCAGCACCACATATGAATAAATAAAATAAAGGTCCATTGATAACTAAAAAAATTTTAAAAAACACAAAGGAGAAAACACAGTATAAAGTTCTATAATTATCTCAAAAGATATACTGATATGATTTAAATAAATGTCTTTTCCAAAACTCATGCTACATTCTGTATCCATTCAAGTAGCCACAGGGGACCTGGGAGGTCACCAGGTGGACTGATATCACTGTCAGGGCAAGCCACAGACTGATCAGAACTATAACCCCTCTAAGTCATCAATAAAAAGAAAAGCTTAAAACAAACAAAATGTCTGAATGGACACTTTAGAATAAAGTCGGAATGGTCCAGGAAAAGGTACCTGGAGCACAGGGTTTTCTATAATTGAAGCCAGAATGAGACAGGCAGTCAGTGTAGATCTGTAAATATTGTCAGGTCAGATCCAAGGAGGCCAACTTTGAGTGAGTCTGGGAAGTTGGAGACTGACCCCTGAGGGATCTTATCTACAACCTGCCCCTGCTCCAACCTGTTGCCAAGGTACCCGGTCCTGAGCAGCTCCAAGCTGCCCTTCCCCCTTCAGCCCACCTGTGTCCCACCTTTGGCCCTCCCACCGAGCGCTCTGGGTCTGGTCAGGTGCGCAGGAAGAAGACAGGGGAAGAGGGCAGGAGAACAAAGGAAGCCTAGGACATATAAAAAGGGCACAACACCTCGCTTCTGGGGATACCAGGATGCCAGCTATGGCCCTTCTCCCTCCCGGGAGAAGTCGGTTTCCCCTTTTTAAATAAGCCCTGCTTTGTGCTCGCCTGGCGCGCTTCTCCAGTGTTCTACATGTTGAACATGTGGGGAGCAGGACTCGGCGGTGACGGGCGGTATCTTACTGACAGTGACTCACAACTGTGACGCAATGTGACAGCTCCCCTCCTCTGAGCACCAAGTGGCAAAAGCCTGGATTTCCAATGGGAGCGAGAGGGTGCAACCTGCAGAGCACGCAGCAGGGGGTCAGCAGCCCCAGGAAAGCAGGCGGGGGACTGCGGGCCCGGCAGCTCACCTGCGGGCCTCCGCAGCCGGGACTCGCGCGCCCGCCCTCCGGGGCTG